TGATTTACAAAATATGGTAAAATACTTCTCCAATAAATCGAAGTGCTTGTGTGTGCTTAAATCGTGTTGATAAAAACAAGTGCTGATAAACTTCAAAGAACACGATTACATTTTGCTCTGCAGTTTTTCAATTCCCCGTGTTTTCAATACGTTCCCAGAAATAAGAGATTAAATTTTGGGAAATTTCTATTTGACTGAATTTTACTTCTTTGACTAGAAATGATGAAAAATCCGACTTTTGAACTTGAAATAAAATTGAATCTTATGAAAGTTGGGCACTTGAATTTGAAAGAGAGATGTTGACTTAGCTCATTTGTTTCACATGCACCTAAAAAATGTTTCACATGTTGATCACGTTTGTTCTGTTGGTGTCTGTGTCAATTATTCATTCAGCCCAACCTGGATTTAAGACACTTTTAAGAACAATTCTAACCAACTCAGAAGTTATTGCTATTAGTTATTGCTGTTATTGCTTTAGACTTTCAGATAAAACAAGGAGTTCTCCTCGCAGTTCATTATTTTGTTGTTTTTCCTCTTTAAAAAATTTCTTTGGGAAAAATACTGGTTAATATAAGAGTTTTTTTTCTTGAAATGAGAACAATATACGTTTTGCCTAATTTCTATCTAAATCTACAATGTTGAACATGTTCTCCAAGCCCAGAGAAGTTCCTTGTTGTATCCACACCCCTTGAGGATATTAAAAATACAACAAATCATTTCTCTTTTTATGCACCTTTAAATTATGGAAATTAAAAGGAAAATGCAAAGTCTGCCCCTAAGCCATATGGCCGCCCATCCCAGCTAGAGCTTATCCCAGTTTCCTAGGCATGAAGCAACAAGGAGTATCACTACCCCCCTCCCCCGATGCTAGTCCATCACAAGGTTTCCCCCTCCTTTTCCTCCCTCAGAGTTTCATCATACAATTTGCCTGTACCCATTTATACTCCTTGGTGGAGAGAGGCAGTGTGAGTATTTTGCCCAAAAACCCAACACATTTACACGGCCAGGAAAAACTTAAAGGTTATAAAATATTCTAAAATATAGCTGATTATTGACATCTTTGACAAAATGTTGGATCGGGGTCAGATTTTTCGGCTGTTTTGGAGAAAAAGTCACAATTTCCTTGACAAAATAAATAAATTAATGATAATAATAAAAACCCCACTATTCTGCAAGTGTTGTGGGTGTGTAGGGAAGGAGGAGGTTTTGGATAAAGAATGAAACTTTCCCCTATCTCACCAGTTCCATAAAAAATTCCCTATCACTCTATAACAAGTTTTGAACTTACCAAGATAACGCCGGATGAGATCGTACACGGCACAATAAAATAAATCTGCATTCCTATTTGAAAAAAAAATGGACCAAGTATTGAACTACCCTCTGGGTTTTCCTCAGGGGACAAGGAAGTTCCATTCCAAGAATTACTTCCATTTATGTCAGAGCAGTCTTTCGTAGCATGACTCTTTGTGACAGTGAATGGTAACAATCCAGTTAAATGCCCACCAACAATCGGCGTAATCAACAAAATACAAATAACACCCCAGATCAGAGCCTTGAATGCTTTAAAGGCGTCTGTCACTTCCCCTGTTTTAAGTTTGAGTCCACTGTGAAGGAAGATACCTATGACACAGACGTAGTGGGTCGGTAATTTGCTGAAGAAGACACCAGGTTCTGGAGCCAAAATTCCTAAAGCTACGAAAAAGACCAAGCTTATAGGGAACAAATTCTTAAAAACCACTGCCTTCACCGTATTCAAAAACGTCGGTGGTTTCTGCGGTATTTCCTCGGGAGAACCTTCACTTTTAGGAAGATTCATCATCGCCATTGTCGGATTCCGTAACTTAACGTCTATCGCGCTCTTATGAATGCCTTTTTGGTTATTCAAACTATGTTGCACGTCAACCCGGGCTCGTGCGAGGAGGCCGTTATAGTCAGTAGTCAAGCAGATGCTCGTTAACTAGACCTTATTCAGCTTTACTGGCCGGTTCCAAATAGCGTGCAAAAACTCAACATAATGCTCAAAACTTTCCACAACAGAATAAGTAATCATGCGTTACAAAATAACCGAGAAGTGGTTATTAGTGCATTACAAAGTCACTTTCTTTTCATGCTACACAAAAGATCAAAGGTGAACATGGATCAAAACACTTTTCAAAGGTTCAAAAAATAATCAAGCTCTCTTTGATTTGACCGTTTTGGTGACATAAAAACAAAGCTTGATGGTTCAGAAAGTACGTTGGAAATTAAATAGTTAACAAATAGACTCCAAGTTGCCGTGCGTCAGTGCAGTAATAGATCACGGATGACGTCAAAATGTGGTAAAAACAAAGAAGTGGCACACGAGGCGCAGCCGAGTGTCACTGATTTTCTTACCACATTTTTGACGTCCTCTGTGATCTATTACTGCACTGACGCACGGCAACTTGGAATCTGTTTGTTTTATATAATAAAGAATTTAAAAAAGTGTTAATTGACGTCATCTATACGTCTGTCCTCCAATAGATGCGTACATATTTGAGCTTATTATTTAACAAATAGAGAAGCCTTGACTGTGCTCTGTTCTGTTATAAAGCACACAGCGGCTAGAGCACGAGAGAAGTGTAGGGAGAAACACGAGACGAGACAAGACCCCACTTCTTGAGTGCTCTAGCCGCCTCCTAAGTGCTTTATAACAGAACAGAGCACAGTCAAGGCTTCTCTATTTACTGGGATACCTGTGGTAGCCCAGTCATACA